GAGCAGGGAGCCCGATGCGGGGCTCGATCCCAGGACCCCAGGATCATGACCTGAGCCGAAGGTAGACGCTTAACGACTGAGCCACCCAGGCGCCCCCATAAGCATGGTCTTTGGAGTCAGATGGACCTCATTAAATTCTGGCTCAGTCACTTATCAGCAGTTATTTAACATATCCGTGCCTCATTTTCTCATCTGTAAAACACGGATAATAACAGGCACCTACTTCATAGGGCTGTTTTGAGGATTAAATGACTTAATATGTATAACGTGCTGAGAACAGTGTCTGGCACATAGTAAGCACTATGTATATGGCATTAGCATTATTATACATTCTGGTCAGAAGGCATAGCCTGAACCAAGGTGCAGAATGGGAACATACAAAGCTTAGTAGGTTTGTGAAGGGGAAGAGTCTGGCAAGAGCAATATCCACAATTTACCAATGACCAATCAGAGACAGGGAAAGTGACTTGCTAGATACCTGAGTGTCTCCTAACAGCATAGAAGAGTGTGAAGACACACATCTGAGGCCTAATCATTCTTTGGGGCCCCGCTCCCATGACTGCCTTTCCTAGGAGCTTCAGTAGGCAGCATTTTCCCAGCTTTGAGCACTCATAGACTGTCATTATAGCACTTCTGAGCTGCTCTGGGCTATTTCCTTGCATACTTGCACCCAAAGGTTCATGAGGGAACACATGGGATGGATCCTAGGATGTAGAACTTACTGTTCTGTGACAGCCAAATTGGGTGGCAGGGAGGTGAGCCCATTGCCTGTGAGGAGCAGGACACGGAGGTGTGGCAGAATCCCCAGATCACAAATGGCCTCTGCAGTCAGGCTGTTGAAGGAAAGGTCCAGGAACTATGTACAAAGATAAAAGATGGGAGAACGGAAGCACTATACATGACAATGATGCTCATACATGAGGTGGGAGCTAACTATTTTTTTTAACCTTCTAGGCAACCCCATCTCTCATAAACCTAAAACCTTTTTGACTCTCTCTGGATTAACATTCAAGGCCTACTATAGTCAGTTCCCGGCCTATTTGCTAGCTTTAGCTCCCACTGCAAATCTTGATTTATCCTGTGGAGCTGACCAAAGTGACTCCTTCCCCATTCCCTGCACCACCCCACCTAGAGATCTTTGCTTGAGCTTTTCACTCAACCAGGAGAACTTTTCCCTCTCCATGTATCTTTTTTTTTTTTTAAAGATTTTTTTTTATTTATTTATTTGAGAGAGAGAATGAGATAGAGAGCATGAGAGGGGGGAGGGTCAGAGAGAGAAGCAGACTCCCCGCTGAGCAGGGAGCCCGACGCGGGACTCGATCCCGGGACTCCAGGATCGTGACCTGAGCCGAAGGCAGTCGCTTAACCAACTGAGCCACCCAGGCGCCCCCTCTTCATGTATCTTAATCTAAGCCCCAGAAGGCCAACTCAAAAGTTGCCTCCTTATAAAACTTTTCCTAATTCACCAGGCAGATGGAATCCCTTTCTCCCCTGAATTTGAGTGCTTTATCTAGGGAAACTTCTCATGGTCAACCAGGTATCTGATAGGTAGACACACATCTGAGGAATAGGGATGTTGGTACATGGATGTGCCTAGCATAGTCTTGGTACACAAAGGTAGGCTAGACCATAAACTCCCTGGTCAAGGGCCTTGCTACTGTATCACTATATCCTTGTAACCTAGCATAGGACCTGGTACATAGTAGGTGCATATAAAAAATCAGCTGAAATGAACTGGCTTATGAGGGCAATGACCGAAACTGTCACTACCAACCACTTCCTAACTGGCCACCTAGATTCATGAAATAGTTCACTGGGTCAGGGGCCAGTCAGGAAACTGAATTTCTGTCTGCAAAGACAAAGACAATTGGGATAAATGATATAAAACCCAATCTTTGTTCTTTCTCTTTTGGGCCTCTCTACACACTCACTTTAGCTCTTATGTATAAGTCTGCTTCCTTGCCTCCCCTTCTCTCCACACACGGTCATTGAAGCCTATTGAATGGGGGCATTTCAGCATCTTACCCAGCTGGTTGACCACATCAGTGTTACATAGTCAGTCAGACATATAACCAAGTGGCTGTAGGTCACTGCCAGAGGAGACTGAATTTGGTCTGACTCTACTGTAGTAATCAATTGATGGATTCTGTAGATCTGAGTTTAAATACTGTCCAAATGTGTGATTTGGGCAAATTACCTAACCTGAGCTTCTATAAAATAGAAATAATAATGAATTATTATGAGAAATTATGTAACATAGTAAGCGCTTAGTTAATGTTGGCTGTCATCATTATAACCATCTCTTCATTCAGGGATGTATGCTGAAGGCTTACTCTGTACCAGTCTGTCCTCTGTTAACTCACAACCTAGCTGGTCAGCTACTAAGTAGCAATGCTGCTGGGATAGAGGTCTGAACACAGACCAATGGAAGCACAAAGAAAGGAACAGTCAGCTCTACCAGAGGATCCAGCAGGCTTCATGGAGCAGGTGACGCTCGAGCTGTCTTCAGAGACTAGTTGGTATTCACCAAATTGTTAAAGGCAAAAAGAGAGGCAGTGCAGCCAGGAGACAGGAGGTAGCCTACCTTGTTCTAAGAACTGCAAATAGCTTGGGTATGACTAGAGTCCGTGGTATAACAGAGGGTTTGATAAGACTGGGCAGGCCGTGAAAGGTGCCAAGCACCAAAGAAGTGGTGAGTTCATGCTGCCATCAGCAAATTCCAAGTTTTGAGAGTTCACACAAAGGGGTGATTCCACTTGGCAGGGGCAAAGAGAGAAGCCTTCAAGGAGAAGACCTAGAAAGCTGGCTCAGATAATCGTAGATAAAGGTGGGAAAATCCTCTCCCTCATACCCATATGTGGGCAGTCAATAAGACCTATGGATTCTGTCTCCTTAATATCTCTCATTCTGTTCCCTCCAACTCATGATTCATGCAGTGGCCATACCTATCATCCACTGGATACTTCAAACTCCTTAGTGAGGCCTCCAAGGCTTCCTACAGTCTCTCTTCTGCTACCTCTCCAGGCTCATCTATCACTACTCTACTGTGTTTCACTTTCCATTCCAACCACACTGAGCTGTTTCATCAGTGTGCTAGCTCGGGAGTTGGTAAACTAACACCTCTCAGCCATTTCCATCCTGCCGCCTGTTTTGTACAGCCTGTGGGCTAAGAATAATTTTTGCACTTTTAAATGGTTGAAAAAAGATCAAATGAAGACTGCTGTGTGAAAATTATGTGAAATTCAAATTTCAGCATCATAAAATTTTATTGGAACACAGCCATGCTCATTTTTTTATGTAGTATTTATGGCTGCTTTCCTTCTAGAACAGCAGAGTTGACTAGTTATGACCATACAGACCACAAAGCTTAAAATACTCACTTTACAGAAGAAGTTTGCCGACTCTTGTCCTCGCTGACTTGGCTACTTAATGTTGGGGCCAGATCTGCTCTCCACAGAATTAAGAGCAGCTCAAAGAAATGAATAGTCTTAGAATAATAGGTCACAGAACTTCAGAGCTGACCCAGAATTTGAAGAGGGGTATACTTAAGTCCCAGAGAAGGGAAGTGATTTGGCCAAGGAGCTATGTCAAAATAGTGGCAGAACCAAGACAAGAAACAAGGTCTCCTAACTCTCAGGGCAGGGCACCAGCTGAGCCTTTTTCAGACCGGTATGCAGAAAATAAAATCATGGCAAAGTTAAGTTTTTCTAAATTGACTGCTGAAGAATTCTACTCCTTGGGTGGCAGCCTTTCTGGCAAACAAGAACAGAAGATTCCTAACCTACTGCATCTGCTGAGTCATATCAAGTTTTATTATACATCAAAGTATTCATTACTGTGAACTGCAAATTCAGGACTTTTGACAGTTTTATGCTTTTTCTTAGAGAGACCTTGTAAATCACAGAGATAGAAACCAATGATTAGCCAAGAGATTTCCTCTTCTCATTTATATTCAGCATCTTGACTTTGGTCTGCTCTCTTATGTAAATAAATTCCCCTGGGTAAGGCTGGGTCTGCCTGATAAATAATCTTTATCAGAAGCTATCAAACTGAGAAGTAGGGCATCTAAGTCAATCATGATCAATCAGTAGATCCAAGCTAGTCAGCTGTGGGGTCAGAGTCATGTCCCCTCCCCAGGGCCCATGGGTACTTGAAATTGGGATTTGAAATAGTACTGGTGAGGAAGACAAGATGCCTGGCACAATGCATGACAATGCATGACACAAATAACTACTTTTTAAAAAAGTAAAATAACAAAAAAATGGAAGTTCATAAGAAGCTCCCAGGCCTGTAGGTAAAAGAAATGGCTACCTGCATCTCTAGCATCAGGACTCTGTTTCCCACTGTTTATATTAAAATCTAGTATACAGATTTTTTTTAACATAGCAAAAAATTACACCAGTTATTGTCAATTTATACTCTTTTTTATTGGACTTTCAAGAGCTCTGCTTATTGGACAAATCTGAGGACAACTCCTGTTCCAAATCACATAGTAAATCACCCCTATCCTCAATATGACTTGAAACCATGGAGAGAAGTTACCATTACATCTAGGATATCATGTTTTAAGGACAAAAGGACATATAATCCATTTTAGAAGATTGCCATCCCAAGCAGTTAAAGCTTTTTAAAACTTTGGCATACAAAGGCCATCAAGTCTGAAAGATTCATTCTTGTGGAAGAACCCTCTCTCTCTCTGGCAAGACTAAGTTAAGTGAGGCTTTTGTGAAGAGTGGCTGACCCTTGATGCCCTTGATGTTGGCAGATTAAATGATTTAAGTTACCAACTCTTTGGGGTCAACCCCAAGGCTTATGACGCACAGACATTCTGCTGAGATCTGAATCTAAAACATTTGTACTATAAGGCCAACACCTGGGGAAGAGCCCCTTATTCAGTGAATGAGCCTGGCCAGAAGCCCGGCCCCACACCTTGCTCCAACTCTAATCTCCATGCATGCAGTGACTTTCAGGGAGTGACAAAAGCTTTGTTGCTTTGTGAAAAATGGCCCTCAAGTTTTCATGGAAGTTGAAGAGGTGATTAACTTGAAGTATGAGAAGATGCATAGAAAATGCATCACCATAGGAAACTTAATTTAGGAGAAAGCCAAGAATGCAAACAAATTTTTCTGTATTTTTGAATCTGGGGTTTGGAGAACAGCTATGGATGTACAAATGTCAAGAGTGTGCTATAGAACTCATAGGATTCCTGTTTTATTTCACAGTCACCTCTGGGCCTATAGATTAGGCCTTTAGCCTCCCTTACCTGAGCCCACTGGAGCCAATCTGGCTCATTTGGACCATGATGGGTCTCCGGCATCAGTCCATAATGCCTCTAGTTCAGCTGGTCTGATCTGCTGTGCCTCGCACTTAACCTCCAAGGCTCCTCAACCCCCACTGGATCCAGATCTCCCCTCAAACTCTCCTTCCTAAAGTACTTTGTTTAAACTCAATTTTCTACACGGACTCCTTTGGCATGATGTTTGGCATTTATTCTCTAGGACCATGCACAATGGCCATAGGTATGATACAGTCTCACCTGTTTGCCACTGCTGCCATTCACAACCACTACCCTCATCATCACCACCAACCCTACCACCCTTTGCAGAGGACTGCTGTGAAGCAAGAGTCTGGCTGTAACCAGAGAGCTCCTTCCCAACAGTTATAATCAGTAGAGACCTCTATACCCATTCTTTATAGGGAAACAGGTGGGCACCAAAAACTCCCTACCTCCAACTTACTTCCAAGAACTTAAAGTCTCCATATTTCACGTAGACTGTTTTGATTCCATTAAATGCAAGCTCCAGTTCCTTTAAGGTTGGAAATGTATGAAATGCCTCTACAGGAGAGGAGAAAGAGAGAATCAGCTACTTGTGAAGGATGTAAGACAAAGATGTTAACGGTGGTCATTTACTGGGTCCCCACTGGGTTAAGCCAAGCTTATGGTCAGATGCTTTGTACACATGGCCTCTGAATCTCTAACAACCCTGAACAATAGGGATTACTATTCTCATTCTACTGCTGAGGAAACTGAAGCTCGGCTAGGATAAGTGATTTGCTAGAAATGGAATTGCTGGGAAGTGAAAGAGCCAAGAATTGAATCTATGTCTAACTCCAAAGCCCATTTAAAAATTATCTTTGTTATTCCTTACTATAAAAGTAAAACATGCCTACCAAAAAAAGTTAAAAAATACAGAAAAACAAAAGTTCCCTTTAATCTCAACACCCAGACATAACCATTGAAAATTTCATGTATAATACTCCAGAATTCTTCTCATGTGTACAGTGAAACACAGACACATCTTTTTACACAAATGGAATCACACCATACACATCGTACTGTGATTTGCCTTCTTCCCTTAACAATATGACTTAAAGATTGTTCCATGTTGGGGTGCCTGGGTGGCGCAGTTGGTTAAGTGTCTAACTCTTGGTTTCGGCTCAGGTTGTAATCTTAGGATTTTGAGATTGAGCCCCGCTTTGAGCCCTGTGTCAAGCCCTGCATCAGGCTCCACGCTAAGTGCAGAGTCTGCTTGACTCTGCTCTCCCTCTCCCTCTGTCCCTCCCCGCCTCCACCCTGTGCTTCCTCTGTCTCTCTCAAATAAATAAATAAATCTAAAAAAAAGCTTGTTCCATGTCAAAACATAAGGATCTGCATAATGTCTGAGTTATGTTCTATATTACAGACATACCCTAATTTATTTAACCATTCCCCTATTGATAGCCTTTGGGCTATCTGGATAAAAAGAACACTTTTCCTCTTCTGCATGAGAACTGGACTTTGGGTTAACTTTCTAGCCCCTTTCCCTGGTAATCTGAAACAGATGGTATGGTACCATAGTTAGGCAATATTATTATGGTAAAATGATGCCAGACTGACAAGTCACATCTGGACTAGGAGGAACTCTAAATGAACTACAAACATCTGAAGGTGCACCATAACTTTGCGCTTCCCTGTGTGTGGTGACTCCCATAATTAGTCATGTCCTTTGCCAGGACTCTAGGAGCTATGTCTATGGAGTGTTACAATAGCTATTTGCTCCTGTGGGGAATGAGGCTTCTAAGCCAGAGTGGCTCCTACATCTACCGAAGGACAGTCTTACTGTCTTGGACCTGAGCAGCGGGCTGCAGAGAATGGCCCACAGACGGCTGCAGGGACTGCTGTGAGGACTCCTCTGAAGAGAAACTGCAGATACTGTGCTGCAGGTATACTGTGTGGAATGACAGAGCTTTCTGGTGTCAAGTGGGGCCTATGGTGGTCTTGGGAGTCAGAATGTTCAGTAGAGCCCATGAAAAAGACTGCTTGATAGGTATTTCAGTATGTTTCCAATGAACGTCCTCATACAAGTGTGTTTCTGTAGAATCAATTCCTGAAAGGGAAACTACTAGATTAAAGGCAATGACTACTTTAACAGACATTGCCAAACTGTCTTCCAAAGACGTTGCATCAATTTATTACACTTCTGCCAGTTGAATGTCAGAATATCTGTTTCCCCATCAATGCTGGCTGTCATCAATCAGTCCTTCTCATGTTTGCCAATATTTCACAGGCAAAAAATAGGATTTTGATGCTGTTTTAATTATTAGTGAGGTTGAACATCTTTTCATATGCCTATTGGCCTTTGTATTTCAAGCCCACCTTCCTGACAAGACTGTACTCTTTCCTCAAGGGCAGGGACTGTGTCACAAGCTTCTTTAAAAACACCCTTCAACCTCAACCACTAAAAACTGAACTCCTCTTATTTTTCCCCAAACTCTAGTGCTCTCTGTTTTCAGTGAACCCCCTTGGCTCCATCAGCTACCAAGTCCTGTTATTTCTACCGCCTCCTGAATCTCTCTTGCAATGACCCTCACCCCTACTGCCTGGCTCAGGCTTTCCTACCCCCGCACTCGGGAAAAATGAAATCATCTCCCAGGTTTCCTGGTCCCCATCTTCTTCTCTTATCATTCACCTTCCTCACGGCCCCCACTGAAATTCTCTACTTAAAAGCCTTCCAAAGCTCTCTTTTGCCTGCAGGATTAGTGACAACTCAGGGCCCTTGATACTCTAGTCCCTGCCAGCCTTTCTGGTCTCCATTTCCTCCTATTCACATCCCATGAAAACATACAGAGCCTCTTCAGTGTCCTGATCAGGCACTGCTGTCCCACATCTACTCCGCTGGACTGAAATACCTTCTAATTCCTGTTCATTTTTTCGGTCTCAGCTCAGTGCCCTTCTCCTCAGAAGTTTCTCCTGACACTCTGGTCTGGGTTGGTGTCCGCTTATATGCTTGCATAGCATTTTCTGATTCCCTCTATCACTGCACTTACCATATCCTGCTATAATTGTCTGTGTCTGAACCCATCTTTCCCACCAAACTATGAGCTCACCAGAACAGGCACTGATTGGTTTCTAAAAGCCAAGCATGCACATAGTCCTGACACCCAGCAGGGGTCGCTGTGGACTTGCTGAATAAAGGAGAAGCCTTTATGCTCCTGTAGGAGCTCTTACAGGCTTAAAAACAATTTCATATACCTCTCTCATCTCAGCCTACTAGGCATCCTGGCTTGGGGAGGAAGAAAGGAAGGGAACTGTCTCCATTTACAGACAGAGAAGCAGCATCTCAGAGAGAAACACTCTAAATAGGTAGTGCCAGCTCTGGGCCGAAATCCTGGGCTGGGCGTTCTCCAGCACCTAGCCTACGGCACCCTAAAAAAGAGATGAGCAGCCAGTCATGAATGGACTGACAGGCAAGTTCTAACAGGAGTGACTGGCTGTGCTGGCTGAGAAGCTTACCTAGAGGAAGCAGGTTTTCTGAGGCATTGATGTAAATCACCGAATGAAAATGCTTGAAGTCCTTTTCCTTAGCCTGTGGGAAAGCATTTCAAAAGAACACAAGATTAGTGCCCTGCCCGGAGGGCTTGCCAAAGCTCCAGAGCTGCTGTCAGAAGGCACAAAGACCTACAGGGATAAGCTATATTCTTAGCAAAGTACACCCACTTGCTAAGGGCCAGAATGGCTTTTCTGCTGCTTTTTTTCTATTATGAAATAGTTCAAATGTACAGAAAAGTTTAGTGAACGATACTTTGAAGACCCATGTAACCACTGTCCACCTTTATATGAAGATTTTGCTGTCTCCGCTTCAAATTTCCTTAAAGAAATAAAATACTAAAGAGTTGACCCCACCCCCCACCCCCACAATCTTCCCCAATTGTATTCTTTTCCCCTTCTCACAGATAACAGCTATCTTGAACTGGTGATTATCATTCTCATACTTGTTTTATACTTGTATTCTATATATGTGTATCTATAAACTATATATAATATTATTTGTAAGTTTTAAAACTCTATATTAGATGCAATCATACTGTGTCATTCTGCAATCCGCCTTTCCCACTCAACACTATGTTTTTGAGATTTACTTGTGTTGATACACCTAGATCTTTTGAGATTTACTTACGTTATGTTACTTGTGGTACTGATTTATTTATTTTAATTGCTGTATATTTTATATCACCAATCTCTCTTCATATGCCATGGAAGGCCTATAAACCAAAAACATATGGCATAATATCCTGCACATATACTGGCTAATGGGGGGGGGCACAAATGTGGCTCAAGCTACCTATTAGCCAATGTAAGAAAGAAACATGACTCATTACATGAGTCACCTAGTGTGTATAAGAACAAACCAGCATCTTGGGAGAACCATTACCACTCCTGACACTGAAACTTGAGAGAAATTTCTCCTACAGGCTCTTCTAATGGGAACTCAGTGTCACCCCAGCAGAGGTCTATGACAAATTCAAACCAACTCCCATAATGCTACTTCCTTTAATTCACCTCACATGGGCCAATGGCAATAGCAAATTCACAGCAAAATATTGTGTCTGCATGTTGTTTCTACCCAGTGAAGCTTTGTCTGACGCCCCCCACCCCAAACCCCCAGTCCTCAGGGACTCTGGAGGTACAATGGACAAACAGCCAGGAGCCACCTCAGGTCTGGCTCATCCCAATCACATCTCTGCTGGCTGGCCCTACCTTGGAGAACTTCAGGCCGCTCACATTAATGTTGACCAGGTCTGATGGCTTCCTCACACAATGGTGCTTCAGCTGGAACACAGTGCAGAGAGTCAGGTCTCAAGGCCCCAAGAAAGTTTATATAATTGGCCAAGACAACAAATGACTCCCTGTTGAGAAAGGGGGCCTAGTACAGCGCGAAGAGTATGGGCTTTGGGAGTCGCTCAGAACAGAGCTGCCACCTCAGCTCTTCCACCTCTCAGCTTCCCAGCTCCAAGATGCGGATAGTAACACTGACTTGACAGGGTTCGTAGGAGGATTCCTTCCTCTCTGTTCCTCCTCTGTCTTTTCTGAGCCCCGCTTATTCTACCTGGGTCTTCAAAAAATCTGTATTTCTGGGGCCTTACCAATCTCTTCATGTTTATAATAATTTGCTTGTTTATTCGTTTGTTCGTTTTTTTATTCACTAAATATTTACTAAGTATTGCTTTGGGCCATGTATTGTGCTAAATACATCAATACATTTTCTTCTAATCCTAACTAAACCCTTTAACATAAGTATGATCATTTTTCCTTTTTAAATGAGAAAAATAAGGTTAAGAGAGATAAAGTGCCTTGCTGAAGGTCCCACAGCTAGTAAGTGATAGATGATTTGAATCCAAATGTGTTATCATTAAACTCTGTGCTCTTTTGACTACCATATGTTGCCCCTCATAAGTAAAAAGTTAAAGGAAAACTTAGTGTTGGAGCTTCTATTTCTGTTTAACCAAACCTCATTCTTTTTTTTTCTGTTAATCATTTATTTATGGTATCATGTTTAGGCATGGAATTAGGTGTTTATTATATTCTATTCATAGAACTTACGACAACATGGAAGCCAAGTAGCAAACAAGTATTTATAAATGTGATAAATATTTTTTACAGATTTATTTTCTATTTATTTTTAAGTAATCTCTACACCCAATGTGGGGCTTGAACTCATAACCCCGAGATCAAGAGTCGGATGCTCTACCAACTGAGCCAGCCAGGCACCCCTAAATGTGATAAATATTTTAAAGGAGAAATTCAAGAAGCTATGGGAGACAATAACAGGAGGTCCTAACCTCATTCGGGAGGAGAGGAAATATTTAGTTGAGGAAGTAATATTTCAGGTGAGACCCAAAAGCTATGTAGGAGTTGGTCCCATGAAAGTGGGTGGCAGGCAGTGAAAGCTATCAAGACAGGTAAAAGCCAGGTGCTTTTGAGAGGATGAAAAACAACAAGCCCAGGGGGGCAGCCACTAAATCACCTGGGTCCCTACTGGCTATGTAAAGGAGTGTGGATTTTGTTCTACAGTCAGTGGAAAGCTAACAGACTTTTTTTTTGGCAAGAGCTGATAGCAATTTTATAAAAATTGCTTTGTCTGGGGCACCTGGGTGGCTCAGTTGGTTAAGCGACTGCCTTCGGCTCAGGTCATGATCCTGGAGTCCCGGGATCGAGTCCCGCATCGGGCTCC